GATGTGTCTGAGATGGGGCAGAGCTGGAACGAAAGCAGAGCGGGTGGTTATTTTATTTTATTTTATTTTTTATTCGCCCCCTTTTATATTTTTTTTTCCTCCCGCGAACCCACTTGGCGTTACTTTAGCAAAGCAAGATGCATTTTTCATCCAGCCAGCGCGGCCTGGTTCTGTCAAGCTCCATTTCTTCTCACGAGCTCTTTTAAGGGGAAAAAAAATTAGAAGCCACGGATCGCCAATTGCTCGTAGTTGTTGGGTTATTTTTTGTCGTCACGCTCGCGTATTTAAAATGATTATTATCTTTATATCTGCTTAATTATGTCTGGGCGCGGAGAGCACCGGGGAGGCTCGCTGGGGCAGGGCTGTGCTGCCATGGCCGGGTCCCTCTTTGTTTTAATAAACATGCTTTATTTTTTTTTTATGTTTTTTTTTAGTTGCATTATTTTCCCTCGCCCTCCCCGCTAACTTTGCCAGCTCGGGGGGGAATAATAGCTCCAAGCTGGAGGGAAATCGATTAAAAAAATGGACAACCGGCACTTCCCAAGGAAGCGAAAAAAAAAAACCAAAAAAAAAAAAACAACAACAAAAACAAACAACACACCACAACAGTCCAGGGGGAAAAAAAAAAAAAAAAAAAAAAAGAGGAGGAGGGGAAGAGAAAAGCCTTAAATGGTCCCTGGAGCTGCGGCTCTGCCGCCGCGGGCTGGGCCCGGGCCCGGGGCAGCGGCTCCCGCAGCGCCCCGCGCACTTTCCGCGCTCTCGCAGCGGTTTCGCTTCGCCCCTCGCTCGGTCGCTGGCCGGGGTGCGCTGGGAAAAGAGCCTTCGGGAAGGGAGGGAGCGAGCACGGCCCGCGTCTGTGTCTGATCTGTAGCTCCAGAGGTGCGGACCTGCAGTCCCTTCGCTTTTTGTCCTTTTAAATTATATATACGTACATGTATATATTACCCACCACTAGCAGGGAAGATCATTTCTTCCCCCCCCCCTCCTTTCCACTCCCAATTTTCTTTTGCATTTAAAGGAGAATTGCCTTTTTTTCCTCCCCCCCCTCGCTCTCTTTTATTTTTAACAGCTTTCAAATATTGTTGCAGGGCGAAGAACTCCTTTAAAAACATTCTCGTGTATTTAAACCCAATATTGCCTCCATATGCTTGGCCTTTCAAAAGTGAATCCCCTTCTTCGAAACACGCAAGAAAGATTTTTTTAAAGCTACTAAAACTCTGTACTTCTTAAGAACAAAAAAAAATCCCAAACTAACAGATAATTCATTTGCTTTTATTTATTTTTTTTCCCTGGTGCTGCTGTGAAACTTTTACCATTCCTGATAGAGCCTTTAAAGCTAAGGCAAAATACTGCTTTTAAAATTCGCTGTGGTTACTCGCATTAGATAGAAACCGTGTATTTTTAAAGCTCTTTTACTCCGCTGGTGTAGTTTTACCCTAAATGTCATGGTTTAGTTCACTGCAGCCCCAATTCCACCCCCCCCGTTCACCAGCCGAGTGCTCATTATTACCTTGCACCGAGTCTCGTCCGATTGATTTATTTTTTTATATATATTTTAATTATCTCGTCCATCCTTTGCTTTTCTTGCGACTGCCCGGGGTAAGGGGAGAAAAGTTTATTTATTTATTTATTTCCTTGTTTATAAGAGAGGAGAGAAGTTGTGTTTTCTTTGAAAAGGGGGTGATAGAAGCGGCCTCGCGTGCCGGTGGTGTTTTCCCGGTCGAAACTGGAGTGGGGTGGAAGCTCCTACTTCCCTGGGAGGAAAGTGGGGACTTTAAACCCCCTGGGCCGCAGAGAGCCCGGAGGGGATTGGAGGTGGTGAAGACACGGGGGAGGCTCCGTCGCCCCCACCTCGGACCCCTCGACCTCCAGAGTCATTTGTGTGATGAGCTGGCCGGTCCCCAGCCCCTCGGGTGCCTCGTTCCCCGCGTCCCGCCAGCCGGCCCTAAAATACGCTGTTTACCTTTTCCAAAAGATGCATTCA